GCGCTGGTCTCTTTTTGATGCGGTCTTGGCTCTTGTCTTGAGTAAAGCTCTATGCCGGGCCACATCAGCCGAGAATCTGTGTGAGCCTGGCTTGACATGGCTGATGGCGGTTCCAGCGGTTTCTCTGGGGATATTAAGCCTTTGTGTGTTTTCTTCTTTCCATGAGGGTGGTGTGGGAAACGGGCGGGCGAGATGTTTGTAGTTGAGACGATTTATGCTCTATGGGTTTGTCGGCAACAGGATTGGATTGCCTGTGGGGGGGGAGCACATGGGAAGAGGTTGAAGGAGGGGAGCGGGGAGCAAGTTCATCGGATATACAAGAAGCACCGTACGATCAGACCGGTTCAGAGTTGCCGGGAGGAAGGGCAGGCCTGCCGTCCCAACGGCCGGTCTTCCTCTGTCAGGCGTTGCCCTGAAGGCTTCTATTTCTTGACACTGACAGACAGGTAAGGGAACGGACGGCTCGGCAGGAAGGGCAGGCGGATTGCAGCTGGCAACAGGCATGTTTTGTATTTCGGGAAGGGGAGGAGGGGGCGATGTTGGCCACCGGAAAGGCTCATCCCTTCTCTCCTTCGGTACCGTTGGAAATTAATGAATGAATGACATTTATGGAGAGTGCCTGCTGCGGTTCTTTTTTTGGGCACGATGATTGGGGGCGGCGGGTTTCCTTGCTCAGCCATATTCCGCGACGCGGCATCGTCGTCAACGGCAAACGGCTAACGGGCCAGGCGCCCCCCCCCCAAGACGATGGAGCGAGGTGAGGGGGGATGCGCCGGGACGATTGTTTGACCGTTGCGGCGAGGCCCTGCTTTGAGGCCTGAAGGATGCAAAATTGCTCCTGGATCGCGGAGACCAGTGTTGAGAGTTGAGAGGGAGCGGCGGCCGGCCCCCCTTCTCCCCATCTCCGTTCCACAGCGGGCAGACGTTCGTTGTATCGCGTACAGTGGAATGGAGAAGAGCGCGGGACGGGTATGACAAGCAGAGAGGGGCCAGAGATCGAGACCATCAGAGGGATGGCATCGGTCACATTCAGAAATTGATATGGATGGGGAGGGGCGCGGGAACGCTTAGGCATTTCTGCTGGTGTCAGTGTCAGGTTGCTGTCTGTTCCTTCGGAGCCGGACTCGATGTCATATTTTTCAAATCGGGTTGTGGCTCCCCCTTCCCGGATCGCGAAGAGGTTTGTGTGTTCTGTTCGGCTTGGATGCTGGAGATGGGAAGAAACGCCTTGGCCCATTGAATGTAGTATTGGCAGATGGATTAGATTTTCGAGATTCGAAAAACAGATAGTCCCGGATCGGAGTTACTCTTTGGTCGACACTCAGACTCAATTGAGAGTAGCATTGGAGCCCGACGCGGTCGAGGCTTCCCAATCATGGCCGTGGCCGGGGAAAGGCTTACATGGCCCCATGTCACCGGCGCCGACCGAGAAGGATTTTGGACATTTCAAGCTGTGGCCATTCTTTTCGTGCGCCTGGTCACTCTCTCACATTTTTCCATGTGCGTATTCTTTTAGAACAAGCTGAGGGAAGCAGGACGAACTGCAACCTGCACTGCAGCACTGCAGTTCAGCTCAGCGGCGCGATCCATCCATGGGGCGAAGAGTTTCTTAAAAAAGGGAATCTGATCGGCCACGGATACTGGGGGCCGAAGAAGAGGGGATCTCGAGCAGGGGCGCCATGCTGAATTGCTGCAGGTTTACGACCTTTTTCGTCGAATTGAGTGATGGCGGCTGCAAGGCAGGCTTCAGGTGAAGTGCGGCGTGCAGCAGCGCGCAGCAGCGAAGCTGTATGCAGCGTGCAGCGTTTAGCGTGCAGGAAGCAGTGGAGGAAGAGCAGCCAGATTCTGGCGTGAGTGGCTCAGGGGCCGGCGGCGATGGACGACGGTTGCTGCAGGGGTTCACTCGTCTAGCGCGTTTCAGCCAGAATGCCATTCGAAAAAACCAAAGTTGCATTCTGAGTGCTGCGTGCTGCGAAGGGAGTACGTACCCCCCGTTCCAGCGCCAAGGGCAGGGGAGAAACGCCCAGCGTTCAGTTGTTTGCTGCGCGTCCCTCCTTCTTTCTCTTGGCATCTTTTGATTCGCGACACACTGGCTGGCTGCTCGCCTCCCTTCCTCCATCCTCAGGAGTCCCTTCGACCAAACCATGGACGACGACGACGATCGAACAACGGACACCACCCCGGCTTCACTGCATTTTTCTGCTGCTTGTTCCAATTTCAGCCGTCAGCACAAATGCAGCCTAGTCAGCATCAACCGGGGCCGAGAAAGCACGCGAACCGACTCCGTACCGCGTGGCCGCAGCTCGCGCTATCCCCCAATCTGAACATTGAGCGACGCAGTCTGTCGCCCATCATCTCGTCCAACACCGGGGCGACAAGCATCATCTTTGATTGGCCTCCCCGATTTGCAAAATTGCGACCTGCTGCTGCCGCTGCTCTCCCGTGCCGGTGTCGCGCTCATCTTCTTTTCTTTCGGATTCTTCCTTTCCCCTCCCCCCTCCTACAGCAGGACCCCCAGGTGTCCCGGCCACGGCCCATTGCGGCGTCCACCGGAAAGCCCTGCGGTACGGGTAACGGATAGTTCAGCGCCCAAGTTTGATGAGCCGTGGTGCAGTATGACGCCAGTCTCTCGCTGCTGGAAGCCTGAAGCCTGTCGCTCACGCCTTCGCTTGAGCTGCCCGGTGTAAGGCCCCCTCCCCCCTCTTGGCCGGTTCCCGCTGCAGGCATCCCGATATTGTTTTATTGAAGGTCGAAGACGGGAAGCGGGCGTCCGTCCGTGGATTCGCTCTTGAGCTGGTCTTGGCCCAATGGCCCTTCGGATCTGGCACTCTCGTCAATCGACTGTTTGCTGGGAGCCTGGGAAGGAGATCGTGGCTTTGGCTTGATTGCTTTCATTACCTCGTGGTCCCACGGCAGCCCGTGACGGCTTCCCTCGAGCATAGCGACGCGAGTAACGCGAACGAGAGCCGGTCACTTCAGCTCAGCAGCCAAAGCCAAGCAAACGCGTGTAATTAATCCCATCTCTGCTTTGGCCAAGCCAATCCACGAGGCAACGGACGGACGGCGGATCTTGCACTATGGATGCCATCAGTGCTGTCAGTCAGCCGTCGTCTGGTGTGATCTGTCCGTCACTTTGGCCGGCTCCCCCCATTCTTTGACTGCAGAGCAAAAGTCTGTCCATGTGCCGTCAGACAACAGACGACCCGGACACGAGCCACGAGAAGCCTCGAGCCTGAGCCTGGAGCATTGGCCGGCACGAGGCCGAAGAAGAAGAAAACGAGTACGCAACGGCGCCTGGCTTACTTTTGCTTGACTTCAACCGGCGCGCGTCTCTCTGGTTGCTTTTACACTTGCGGCTACGACACATCACCATTGGGGCAGCGCACCAGACTGAAGGTAGCATAGACTGCACCAGGGGCCGCGTTGTGATGTTGCGCTTTACGGCTTCAGGCTAGATCACAGGAGGTCCGCCCGTTGTCATCGCCGTGACTGACTGGCTTGACTGCTGGCCGTTCAACGGCTAGCCCGACTGCCACTGGCTGCTGGGCTTCCTGGACACTGACAAGACAGAGTCGTCAACTGGCGTCAAAGCCCCCTTCGACTTCTCTTTTGGATGTGCCCCAATCCAGCAACACGCGAGATTGGAATCGCTGATAGGCCAGAACCCCCCGGCACCCCCTTTTTCAATCTCGTGCTGGACTAGGGTGCAGCCTCAAGGGTAGCTGCTTCTTGGGCCTGTACCTGGCGGCACCGCATTGTCTCACCACCCATCCAAGTATTCTTGGCCCGTCGTCTACTTTGGCGCTCTTCCGGGTGCCCCCTGCTCTGGCCCAATTTGATGGCTCTTGGACCGTCTGATTCGTCAATCACCAATCCAAGCCACCCCGGCAGAGCAACCAGGACGTTCCTGGCGACCCCCAGTCACGATTCCCAGAATCCCTGTCTCGTGTTTCCTCGCCTGCAACTTTGGGCTGTACCTGGTCGACTACTCCCAAGAGAGCGAGAGACCGCAGCAGCCAGAGGCGTGGGCCGCTCTCAAACGAAGTACCACAGCCCACTCTTCCTTTCGCCTCTCCTTCTCTCTCACTTACTCGGAGTCTCTCTGCTTTTCTCTCTCTCCCTCTTCTCCTCCAGTGCCGTGTGTGCATTTTTCGCTCTTTCGAGGTGGAATTGCTACTCATCGTCTGGAACGTTGAATCTCGCAGAGGAACAAGAGTCGTTCATTGTAAGCCTTTCTTCGATTCCGTGACGCGGCAACATACTCGACGCATGCCTACATACGTCCCGTCACTGCCTCCCCTATCTTCTCCCACCGACCAAACCGACGGACACGAGCGACAGTAATAGCCCAGGGGCGATACGACCTCCCACGACACAACCTCCAACATACGAATCCGACCAACGACGAACACGTCTCCGCTTGGCCACCCCCAAAATCCTGCGACACAAAGGCCTTCAGGACTCAGGAGAGCCAGAAGCCTTCTTTTGTTTCCCTTCCAACCCAGCCGTCTGGGCCTCTCTTCCTGCTGCTTCCTGTCTGCCGCCCTAGCATTGGCCCGCGAAAGAAGCACCAGAAACTTTGTTCTGCAGATCAAACTCCGAGACAAGGGCAACGCTTCCCGTCCACGACAAATTTCAGGACACTGTTTCTTCCTCCCTTGAGACCGCTCCTCGATTTTCATTATCGACATCACGTCCTGCGAGCTTGGGACCGACCGATCAACTTCACTTCGAAATCGCGAACGATTGAACTCCGGTTTGAAGCCTCGACGGCCCTCGCTTGTGTGCAGCCCTCACCCGGACCTCAGCATCTCACCATCGACAAGACGACATCTCGTGACGAAGCCGCTTTCGATACGAGGATCCCATCTTATTTTTACACGAATCTAGTTTTGAGATATTCGCGCCATGTTGTTGTAGAGTGAAGGATCCACGTCATCTCACCTACACTCACGGCCACATCTCATCTAACTTAACCTCACCCCCGACACACGGACACGATGACTCTCCCCGAGCCCCCCGTCGCCCTGAACAACATCTGCTCAGTTATCCACGACAACGTTCTGTACACGTACTCCGCAGACGCTTTTCAATCACTTTCGCTCACCGAGGGAGCGAAATGGAAGACTTTGACTCAGGGCGAAAAGGTCACAGGAGGTGTATGTGTCGGCTCAAATCCCACGGACGCCAGTCAGGCTGGCTTGTACATTGTTGGAGGTAAGGGAACATCGACGGACTACCGGGGACTGCAGAAGTACACGTTCGCGACAGGAAAGTGGGAGTCAATCCAACCACAGGACGCGGTAACGCAGGAGCGTCTGCTTCACGGCGCAACTTATCTCCCCGGCACTGATCAGATTATCATCTACGGCGGCAGTCAAGATGGTTACTCTGGGCCCTCGACGCAGACCTTTGTCGTTGGCGCCTCCGCACCTTACCACACCCGAGCCTACGAATCCACAGCACCACCCGTCGTAAACCCGATTGTGCTCACCTGGTCCGACACTCAGGCGGTCGTGGTTGGCGGCAGCACCACCAACTCAAAGGTCATGCTTTTCAACCCGGACACTCTGTGGACGGACTCTGGCGCGACTCTCGCTTCACCGATCTTGAAGGATACTACGGCGATCAGGGCGATGCTTATGAAGGGAGATGATGGAAGCAAGAGCTTGTACACCTTCGACCTGTCGACCTCACCGAACGAGGTCCAGCGTATGGTCCTTATCGATGCTTCGGGAGCACCTGTTGCCAACTCCGCCGCGGTGTCGAAGAAGACGACACGAACGGCGGCTGAGATGGCGAAGCGCGATTTGACTCTGGCAGACTGGCCTGCCTACAACAGCACCCTCGCGCCCACGGGAACCCGCGCCAACTACGCCCTCGCGTCTGACTCCACCGGTCTTGTCGTCTTTGCCGGAGGCAACACGAACGATGTTTTGTGCATGTTCAATGCGCGCGAAAACAGCTGGACAGACGCGAACCAGAAGTTGAGCGAGCAGTCTGTCCTCATTACCAGCGAGACGTCTAGCAGCACAAGTGCTTCGTCGACTGCTACTTCCACCTCAAGCAGTAGCAGCAGCTCTTCGAAGTCTTCGTCGAGCGCGATCTCTAGTGTCTCCGCCATTACTGCCCCTGCTTCTGCCTCCGCCTCTGCTTCGTCCTCTGCCTCTTCGGAGACTGCCGCCCCCGCTGTTGGCGCCTCTGTCAGCGCCAACGCCATCCTTGGTATTGTGCTTGGAACTATTACCGGTATCATGATCCTCCTGGGCTTGATTCTCTTCTGTATCCGCCGCCGTCGTGCGAAGAACCAGCCCAACCCCGAGCAAGGCCAACGAGGCTTCCCCGACGAGAAGGCTGGACTCGGTTACGGCAACAACGACTTTGACCCCGCTCCCGGTTTCCGAGGACACCAGCAGTCCGATTCGGCTGGATCCTTCTCCTCGATGGCTATCTTGATGGGCAAGGCCAACGGTCCCAAGTCCAACGCCAACGTCGCTCCTCGCGGCCCTAGCAACGACTTCAAGCGTGGCTCTACGAACAGCTTCTTCAAGAGCACTATCAGCAAGCCCATGCCGCAGGTCAACGAGGTTCCCAACCTGGCACCGCCTTCGCGTGACGAGAAGGGCGTCTCTTTCGCCGCTGACACCGTTGAACCCCGCCCCACAACTCGTGGAAACCAGATGGGACGTCCTGGTGAGACGCGCAGAAGCTCAGGCTGGAACCGATACTGGTCTGGCGGTAGCGCTCTCAATATCCTCGGATTCGGCAACTCGAAGCGGACCACCGTCGACTCGGAAACCTCTCACTACTCGAACAAGAACCGGATTACTCAGGACTCTGCCACTGTCCCACCCCTTCACCTCATCACCCAGGATCTGTCCACCGTACCGCCCATTCGGCACGATGGCCGGCCGGAGCTCAACCGCGTGGCCTCAGGCAGCCCTACTGTTTCGGACTACTCAAACCAGATCCCCTTCAGAGACGGAGTTTCCGCCAAGATCGAATCACCCCGACGACCTACCTCGGACGCCTCATCTGGCTACTCAAGTGGCATTCCTGAGAGCGTTCGTGATACCTGGGATCCCATCGGCAGCTACAAGAAGCCGTGGGGTGCGGATCGTGCCCCGAGCAGTGTATACGCTGAGAGCCTCTACCCGACGTCTCTGGCACCAAGCATTCCATCAAGGCCACCAGGCCAGGGTCATCCGAGTGGTGTGAGCCAGCAGCCCCCGCTTGCCATGGCTTCAACATCGTCAGACATGAGCTGGCTGAACCTCGGCGAGATCAACAAGGCCAAGCAAAATCAACGCTAGGTATAGCCGGCGATTCACTTGAAGTCATGGCGGTGACGAGACACTAATCGCCTCTGCGCAACCTCTCCGAGCTCCGTTCTCGGCCATGGCGCCTTCACGACATCCCAATCATGATCCGTCCTTCCACTTTTATACCCAGGTCTTTTCCGGAGCATCGTTTTCGGCGGGGGCCTCCATTCAGCATAGACGGCTTAGAGCACTCAACAGTCCACCACTCGTTACAATCCCAATATTACCACACATAAGTCTCGTAGAGACGCACACACATACTCGGCGTGCCCTTACTATCCCATTATCGCCTACCTAAACTATCCGCCGCGCACATTATTTCCATTACTACTACACACTCGCATCACACTACCTCACTCTCGCTCTCACTCTCACACACTCTCGCACGACCGCAGGCATGGCATGTTTCCTCGGGCGGCGTAATTCTCTTCATCCGCTCGTGAACATGGCTTCCCACAATTCTCTTTTCCCATCCTCTTTTCCCGATTTTCCTCCACATGTTTTTCTCTTCCATCTCTTGCTTTTTCTTCTTCGCTTCTAGCATCTCTCTTCTGTACATTCCTGTTTTAGAGCGAGACCCGGGACAGGTCGTTCCCTTCGCAGTCAGTCATTTCCGTGATACCAATATCGCAGAGAACTCCATCAACACACGTCCAAGCCACAAAAAGGATTCACAGCAACGTCGCTTGTTGAAGTTTGTCTTTTGTCTGGTACTTGGCAATGTAATTATCAATTTTTTGTCACACAATACACCTCAAGGGTGTTTAGGAGAAGGGGTGTTGGAGGAGAGGAAGTTGTTCATCACTTCTAGGGGCTTTTTTGATGGTTTCTGTCACTTTATTCCCCCACTTGACTTGGTGGAAAGATGAAAGAGGGGAGAGTGGAGGTTGACATTTGGAAGGGAAAGGGAAGAGGGGGTGGAAGGAAGTTGAAGGGGGTTGTTGTTCGACCCGGTTTGGTTGTTGAAACTACCTGCTACTCTTGATGAAGATGAAAAAGGGGGGTGGCATTATTGTATTATTTCTATCAACTGCTTGTAGGGCTGTTCAATCGATGGCTTGTCAAGTTGAAACATGAACCTGGACTGTAGTGACTTGTGTTGTGATTATCATGATTGGGGAGGGAGGTTTAGTATGGCTACTCGACGTTGTGTTGTGGCCGGCCTTCTATGTAGTCGAAGCTTAGAATGTCTAAGGCCAGACTCACGTCGTGTCTACCCTGCCGTCGGTTTGGCGGATCGATGGTGTCAAGCATGATATGCTGACGATTGCTGGCACCTTGGCCGTGCTGTGATAGGCTGCAGATGCCCTGTTGCTCGACGTCAGAGCTGGCCTTGGGGCGCTCCGTGGGAGAAACATTGCGGAGGGCGGGGCTCAAATGCCTAAATTGAACTTAGGTTCACTTTTACTACTCCTCAAAGTGGGCGCTTTCCAGCTAATCACCTCTCACGCAGTCTGTGTAGAGGCGGAGGGCGGCGCGCGCCACAACCGACTCTGTCACTTGACCCAGTCGGGCTTCCTTCGCCTGGGCTTCGACCGATGGGAGAGAGGTGACCTGTGAACGAGTTCATCTTTTATCAAACACCATCAATCTAGATGAGGAGAGCATCACTGGGGGGCAGAGAGAGCAAGAGGTTCGTCCGAGTACAGTGTTTGCTTTGGAAATCAACATCTGTAAGAAGACCTCGTGCCCTCTGTCCCGTCTTCTCTGCTCTACAATCGAAAGCCTGAGCTCGCAAACAAGACGAAGAAACCGGGAGCCGAGACTTGGGTGCAAAGGTGCTCACTACTCACGGAACCCCTGTCGAAGCATCTGCCAATACTCATCCTCGATATCCACGCCTTGCACGTGGCTCCAGACCCCAGCCTGACCCTTGATGACCTGAATGTTGCGACCATCCTTCCACATCTGGTAGCTGGTCCAACCAAACATGGCTTGCACAAACACCTTATCGGGAGCTTCGTGTAATTGCCTTTCGAGCACACGAAACTGCTCCTTAACGTCCTCCTTGGAGATAGTACCAATGGCTTCGCGCCACCAAAAACTAGACGCACCTAAATCATCCGCGACCTCGACCGGCCCTTCGGGATATAGCCCCTGCTCTTTCTTGATTTGGTGGTAAGCATACTCTAGGAGCCACTTGCCGAGCCAGTCGATGTCGTCCTGGATCTGACGTCTTCTGGCTCGCTCGTTCGAGGAGATGCGCTTGTCGTGGTCTCCTCTAACCAAGAATTCCAATTCGAGAGGAACAGCAGGGGGCTCCGAGGAGCGGGGAGGAGTGGCGACCTGAGGAGGAGAACCAGCGGCCTGCTTCTTGTTGGACGCACCTGGCGAACCTCCGCTTGAAACGTGGATCTCGTCCAACGGGGTCTTCGAATCATGCCTGGACCGCTTGTTCCCTCTGGTCTGGTTTCCTCTGGTTTTGCTTCCTCTGGGCCTTCCTATGGTCTTCTTTCCTCTGGTCATTGCGACGTTAGTGCCTGCCTCGCCGAGATGCACCGGCTCTGGAGCACTCTTCCCCGCGTCATCCCCACCGTCGGTGGACGTCTTGGCAGCCCGTGGGAGGCTTTCTCTCTTGGGTGGCATGCTGTTTGACGGAGATTGTGTCTTCGGCGTGTGTATAAGAACTTGCTTGTGATAGTATGCAAGGTATGAATTGAACGAAGAAAATGTGCAATGTCCTGCTCAGAGTAGTGGTGATTGGATAGCAAGGTAGTTTGTGTTGAGGAGGAGAGGAGTTGGTTGAGCAAGGGGAGGGTATGGGTATTTTTTTCCAAGCCGGGGGAGGATGTGAGAGTGCGAGTTGCTGCCTTCCGAGTCCAGGAGTAAAGCTTAGAAAGAAAGAGGCTGAACCTGCCTCGCCAGTAAAAGCGGAAGGAGTAGAGCCAGAGAGAATAGGTGGGCCCCTGTGTGTCTCTGATAGTCGTGCAATAGAGACTTGCAGACACAAGTTACCATCGCCACTTGCTACTCGAGACATTACTTTGGCGTTGCTGCGCTCACCATCATCATCACCATCTCTTCCTTCTAAATGCTTCAACTTCCTTTCCTTCCCCGTGTCTCTCTTGCCTTCTTTCATCTTATCGTCGCACCTGCTGTCGTCAATTCATGCTGAGGCTGGCACTTGTCTATTTAAACACACAACCCACTCAATCTCACAGCTCTCAACCTGCCAAGAACAACTCACACCCTCATCTGAGTGTTACTGTGAAAGCAGTCACAGGTCAAGCACCATACCGAGATTGGCAAGATACCCTTCGGACACTCAAGTCATCCCACTTGTAACTACTCACATAACAACTGCCTCGTAACTACTTTCTTGACATTGTCACACAGCACTCTTCCTGCCTCAACTCTTGAACATGACTGCTCAACCGGAGTTCTCCCGGAAGTGGTCCTGGAGAACCGACCTCCATGCCTACGATGACGGACTCGGCGACGCTCGTCAGCCCAGTCAGATACTTACGTTCTCTGGTCATGAGAATCACAAGACCGTACGCAGCGCCTTGATCGATAGATTGAGGAATGGAACAGCCAAAGGGACTACGAATCTTCCAACCTCGCAGAGCTGGGCGAGGGCAACAGCAGAAAGGCACGCCGCGGTTTGTGGGTAGGATGGCACCTTCCTCTGGAGGTTGCTGCCGAGTCCTCTCAGGCCATACAGGGACTTTCCATCAAGAAGCTCATTGAGAAAGAAAGCTCATTGAGAAAGAGGCGTCGAATGAGCAGCTAGAGGCTGTGACTGTCTCACAGAGCAGTCCCACCGCTCTCAAAGCCATCGTCTCCATGGATACAAGGAAGCGGCTTCAATACTACGCGCTGGCTGAGCCAGATCCGAGAACTGGTATCTGCAAAGCCTTCCAACTGAAGGGCGGCACGACAGGTGTCTACTTCTTTCCCGAATTCCGAGACCCGGATGACAACCTCATCGCCTCGAACAAACGGTGTCGCGCGTGGGCTGCTTCGATCATGGAAGCTGCTGGCAAGAAGGAAGACGACAGCGACGAAGACGACGGCAGCGGGCAAGATGACGAACACGACGACAACGGAGACGACACTAAGGGCAAGGAAAACAAGCCAGCAAAGCAGAAGTCAGATGAAGGCAAGGGCAAGTCCAAAATTAAGACAGGCTTAAGCATGTCCAACAAAGGCAAGTCAGCGGTTGCCGGGGCCGGCGTCGGTGCCGCGAGCTCGTTCGGTACCCAGACCCAGAATGATCTGTGGAACGCCTCTGCTTCAACCTTCCCACCTTCGGGAGCGAGCCGCATCACGGAGCTCAAAGCTCGGCTTGCCGACTTGCGTTTGGAGATGAGCCCGAAGCTGTACAACGAGATCAGAGTGGAGATGGAAGGACTGACGAAGGTCAACTTTCCTCCCTTTCCTGACTTGGCGTACCTTTGGTCTTTCATTTGTAAAAGGCGGCTCAACTTACGACGTGCAAGGCTGGCGGTGGATGAGTTCTTCGTAAGTGACCTCACCAAGACTTCTGCCCACTTCCAAAACTTCTGCCCACTAACAGATTGCTTGCAGCGCCTCTATTCACACTTGAACCGCCAGTCATTGACGAAGCTGAATCACTTTTTGGTTCACGCCGCATCTATAGTGTTGCGCAGCGACACGGAAGGCATCGTGACCCTGAGCTTGGATACAGTCAAGGACTTCCTGGTGACCCTCGCATACATCTGCGACGCCAGATATGCTGACGAGGCAGAAGTGAAGAATAAGGTGTTCCTCGCTTTTGAAATGGTTCGAGAGCAACCAGACGCCTTTCCTCAGTCGAACGAAACCACCCATCAGGACAGGATTCGAACTTTCCTTACCGATGCAATCGATAACATGGAGAGACAGCTGGTCGTCCACGTGGAGAATAGCCGGCTTGCAGCTAGCCTTGGTGCAGGACAACACACGACAGGTGCTGCCATCGTCGAACGATGGGTCAAGAGGTTGAGAGAACCATCCTCCGGACGCATGCAAGAGCCGCCGCGTCCGTCAAAGAGGCTTCGACAGCTGGTTGTCGATGAAGATGAAGATGAGAGTTTGCCGGAGGCCGAGCTCGATGGCCCTGGCTCGAATGCCAGCTCGAATGGAGATAGTCTTGCAGCAGCCGGCTCTACTGGATATAGTGCTGGCACTCCAAGCCATCAACATGCCGAAGGCGAAAACCTCTTCTCGAGCTCTCGCCCTGCTCCAGACGATTTCCATGATGCGAGCTCCCACATTGCCGAGCCAAGCACCGTCGAAGTCAAGCCTAGTGGTCCAGGCACCCCTCCTGGCACCCCTCCTGGCACACCCAACTCCGACTCGCACCTCAGCGACCCAGAGTCTCTGGTCACTGGACCAGGCTCTCCCAAGGATTTGGATTCACTTGCCGTGCTCCAGCTATTCAACGAGTTTGAGAATTGACGGCCGCCTCAGGAAAACAGTTCGAATTTGGAGAAGAGAGATAAGAGAAGAGAAATAAGAGCTCAGGACCAAACGAAGGCTTTGGAATATGCATGTGTAGAGGATAGAGAACTCGGCACTTGCGAGCGCGGCGGAACAAGAAAACGCGCATGGTTTATGCTCTATTTGAGAAGGAGAGGAAGGCAGGAGTGAACAAGATGCAGACAGAGCAGATACATAGCTCGCAGCGAGTTGCTTTAGTTTCAGGGCGGATATTGAATTTGACTCGCGATTTCCTCACTCGAGGCCTTCTGAGTGACTCCAATGCGTTGAGATGGTCATTCTGTCTTCGTTGTAGCCGCGACGATGTCAGGAGGTGGTGCTGCTGAAGTCAGTAATATTACCTCCGTGCTTCATAGCATCACGTGCAAGCTTGATCTCAAAGTACACACGGGCCAACGATGGCGGGGAAGTGACTTCGGATCACTTGCGCTAACCCAAAGCGGACCTAAGGGACAGCTCGGTCGTCACTGCTTGAACGGCCACGCGGATACCGTGCTCCCGAAACGCGGAAACATCGAATCCCAACGACCTGGACTCGACCTTCCCTGATTACGATTATTCCAGCTGCTGGAGTACCTCCTCTACGATTCAAAGATCATCGAGAATGATGTAGCGGGCTGTCACCAATCGAACCAACGCAAGAAACGACAGCACTTTCAGCCCAACCGCAACCATGGAGCGGGCTGCGTCTGGGGCAAAGTCGCTCTTTCCCCAAGGGCCCAGCTTCACCCTCGACGATTTCTCCAACCAGGACTTTGTGGTCCGCGAATTTGTCGACAACCTCGCCGAGAACGCTGTACCTGCCAATCGAAGGTCTGGCCCGTCACAGCCTGCCTTCGACCCAAAGCCGCTCATTCGAACGTTTGAGAGTACGAAACCTCGAGCCTCTGCGCAATCTAATCGCTGACCACTTCTAGACGCCCTTTCGCAGCTTGGATCGCTGTCCGAGGAACTCCAGGAGAAGGAATCGGAACTTCAGTCTAACGTGCGACGAGCCGAATCCCAGCATGACCAGACCCTCGATACCCTCGGCAGAAAGCTCGACCAGTCCATGGCGTCCTTCGAGGCGCTCGATCTGTCCCTAAATAACCCCGCGACGAACGGCGACCGAAGCGCGAGGCAAGAAGCAGGAGGCAACATCGCCGTACAGATTGGAGAGAAGCTCGAAGAATTGGACAGGAAACGAAGACGTGCCCAGGACGCCAACTTCCTCATCCAATGTTGGCTCGAGGTCAGCGAGACCGGCCAGCTGACGTCGCTGGAAGAGATCCAGAGACAGGGCGGCGCTGAGAACAAGGTGCGATGTGCCGTCATTTCTCGCCAGCTCATGCGCATCAGCCAGCGCTTGGATCCGGCATCATGGGGTCAGACAAACGGGACGAATGGATTCCGCGGGAACGGCGTAACCAATGGCGTCACGGGAACGAGCCGCGCTCATAATACACGCGAGTTGTTGGAGAAGTTCTCAGAATCACTCGAGCAGGAGCTCCTGAAGCAGTTCAACAATAGCTACAGGCGCCAAAACTTCGACGATATGATGGAGTGCTCAAAGGTGCTCTACGACTTCAACGGCGGTGCCAGCGTCATTGCTACGTTCGTCAACCAGCACCAGTTCTTTATCGACAGGGATCAACTACTCTCGGACGAGGTGATGATGGATGGAGAGACGTGGGAACAGATTGCCGACCCAGATTCAGACCCACCCGGGGTCGAGGCAAGTCTGCAGTCTCTCGTTGACGAAGTCAAGCTGGTCATGCAGGAGGAATCCTTCATCATCAAGAGGGCTTTCCCATACTACGAGACGGTCTTGATCAAGTTCATCCAGAGAGTGTTCCAGCAGTCCATTCAGCAACGACTCGAAATGGTTCTGGACAAAGCCAACGAGGTCTCATCCCTGGCCTTCTTGAGATCGCTGCACTCTTCGAGGACATACATCAGCAGTCTTATCGAGGATCTCAAGACTCATGGTCTGACAGAGCACCCAGAGCCAGCCTCTCCACAAATTTCTCAAACGCTAGACCAACAGATGGAAGAACTTTTTGTTCCTTACCTTGTGGGCAATTCGTACATTGACCGCGAGAGAAAGAGTCTCGAGGAACTGTACAGTTCGTTGCTCTTCAAGTTCACAACCTACCACTCCAAGAGAAAGAAGGCGCCTACGGGTTTCATGGCATCCTTGGCGCAACAGAGTTCGCAGCTCTTGTCGTCAGCCAAGGACGCATACCTTGAGCGTCTCGATTCGTCTGAATTGACGGCCACACAGAAGGCTATGATGCTTCGTGTTGCGGGAATTCAAGGCGACAACGAAAACAAGGAAGAAGTAGAGGTGTCGGAGGAGGATGGTGTTCTTAGCGTGGCAAACGCAAAGAGAATGATGAAGTGGCTTGCCGAGTCTGTTCGAAGGACCCTTGAGCTCGGCTCTCAAGTCGAGACACCCAAGGATGTGAACGTACTACTCAACCTGCTGCTCACGACCATGGGCCGCGTCTATGTCGAGACCGCTCTCGACGCAGCCTTGGACGCCGCGAGCTCCCAGGAGAACATCAAGACGGAGCCAGATCTTACATATCTCCCCTCCATTCGCCCTGCGGTTACTATCACCAGTATCATGGAGCGCTTCATCACCACTGTCCTTATCAAGCTGGCTGAGTCAAACACGACCGTCCGTCGTAATATGTCAGCGCAGACAAAATCTGCCATCGACGGTATCGAGCGCAAGACCAACGCCGTCATGCGTAGCTCCATCGACGTCGTTACCAACTGGGTCACCCGTTCGCTTGCGAACCAAAAGAAGTTCGACTTCCGTCCACGAGACGGGGATATCGACTCCCTGCAAACCCCAACCTGTCTGCAAATCAGTCAATTCCTTTCCAGCGTGTCTCGTCACGCCTCTCAGGCTGTTGACGGCCAGAACTTGGAGGTCTGGAGCTCCGAGGTTGCCCTTGCCGTGCTGGCTCTGCTCTTTGACCACTTCAAGAAATTCCAGGTTAACGCCACCGGAGGTCTCATGGTCGCGCAGGATCTATCAAAGTACGTCTCCACCATCAAGGAGTGGTCCCTTGCCGCCGATGTCGAGGCCTCGGTCGAGCTCCTCACCGACATTGGATCGCTGTTCATCATTGGACCGGAGGCTCTCAAAGAAAAGTCCCGCACGCTCGCCACCGGACCCTCCGGTATGGGCAAGAAGCTCTCCAAGGCCGACTTCAAGGCCTTTGTCCAGCGGCGCGAAGATGCCAGTAGTGTTGGTATCCAGAGCGTTATCGCTGGGCTTTAAGCATGGTATAGCAGAAGAAGTAAATGTTTTTGAGCTTTGCTTTCATTGCCGGATTAGCAGTACATAGCAGCGGGAACTCGCGGGTGTTAGCTTTGTTGTGATGATGATCAAATATGATACCAATTTTTGCACGCCAATCCTGAAATTGAATCAAGTAGCATGACTGAGTGGTCACTCGAGGCACTTCTCCCGCAGGCTGGCAACAAGTATGAGGGCAAACCATTGACCCATGTTACCTACGGTGATGCCTTTTGGATCACGGTTTTAGATTCGTTTTCTTAACACCCGTCAGAATTGAAGCATCGTAGAATCCACCCTTTCATAGCGAGCCTCAGCTTTAGCATCCGGCCAGGTCGCACACTCAGTTACCTATCATGACGATCGTGGGCAGTATTTACAAAAGTTCGGAGACTGCGTTCTCGGCGTGCGATGTCGTTGACGGCACATCCGATAATTGATCAAACATTCAGGTCCACCGACTGCTTAGTCCATCGAGGGTTGCGCCGAGCTATTTAATACTTGTTCCGGCGCTGCTATACTGTATTCGAGTGATTCAATGAGCTCTTGATGAAGAACATCGTGGTCGGGCAGGTTAGGACAGTGCAAAATGATACAACCTTCAATTGTCCCGGTAGGCACGAGATGCCAGCATTACGCCCGAAAGCCGAATGTCCAGGCATTGTATCTTCATCATTGGTATTTGATTGCGACGATTCCTCTTCTGTGTATCTCAGCTTATGTTCGGGTATCTGAGGTGTTCTTTCTGACTTAGCAAAAGCCCACACTCTTTTCGATTATTTGACCCAAGTAGTTTGGTATCCAGATCAAGTTTTCCTTTGCCAGGGAATACATGAGCCATTGTGCTCTTTGGGTAGTTGCTCAATGCTACCAGCCACGAAGGGGATGTACATTGGTCTGGATGCTGCCCAGGAACGTCTCGCATTGCTTTTCTCGCTTAGAAAAAGCATGGTATAGATATTATATTAGAATGTAACGGTGACCCCAAGTAACGCTCACATGCCCACCTGCTTAACAGTTGATGAAAAAACTAATTGCGCAAGAGTCCATACTTCGTGTCGTCCTCATTTAGCTTACGTTGAGTCAAAGGTTCTCGAGTGCTGTACGTACTCGAAGGAGAATTTGAAGCATGCATTTCGACAGAAAACGACGAAATGGACAAGTGCCTCGTTGTCTCATTGGTGGCAATGTTGCCTCGAGAAAAGCCATGCAACAAGGTTCAAGAAAATTGTTTTGCATGTGGGAGATGAGCTCTCCAGTTAGTTCTCACAGAAAAAGAAACAGATTTCCAGAAGCAGGACATAGAGCGGAGTTGCATATACGAGGTCTTCACAATGCAAGATCATGCGAGTCAAGGGTACACTTGAGGTGTTAGTCTATGATGATAGACCTCCTTTCACTCAAAGTATGTGAGCTTGTGTTTCGTCTGTGAACAATCCAGTGGTGGATTGGCAAAAAGAAACTAGTTGAACAAAGTTAGGTGCAACTTGTTCTTTGCGCGAGAAGATGCCACCCCAAGAGGGGAATGACGAGAGCTTGTCGGCTGGTGTCCTCGGACCAACTCCTTATCAGAGACCTTGACGCCTTAGTTGTTCGATTCTCAGGGAGATATGGATGAGTTCGACTTGGCGCTTGTGAGAGGTTTGAGACTCATGCTGCCTCCGCCGCGTTCTTGGTCTGCCTAAGAGTGGTGTTGTTCTTTCTTCGCAGAATCAGCTAGTGAGAGCTAACTTTCTCCAAAGGAAAGAGCACAGTAAATCAGTTGGTGAACCCTAGAAAGAGTCGCAAGAGGACATTCCCCTCATATCATCCGGCTTCTGGCTGAAAATTTGAAAGGACATCCGTGTCTTCAGCCTGAACACCAAATCATCGAATTCGCGCCTTGTGATCCTATCATCTGAAGGCTTGAGGATAAAACTCATTATTTTAAAAGGTTCTTTCTTCAAATGTGTATCTGAACTCAACGGAACAAGTCTCGCCATTGTAGGCCTGTGGTGTATAATGTTTGAATCGTGATTATGATGCTTCTAGGTCGCTTCCCAAATAGCGTGCAATTGGGCAATCACTCAATCCCCAAGATCCATCATAACTAGTTCCCGTCTTTACAGAAAACAACAAAGACCAGTTGCGAAAAAATAGGATAGTCCAAAGTGGCGATGGGCTGAACTAAACTAGAAGATCGAAGATCGCGGGCCTTGGACTATCGAAAACTAGACGAGCAGCGAATGACAGCCACGGATACGACGAATGTTGTCCACCGCAACGGGCGCCACATCGACAGAGCGCGATCGATTCAGATCGCCTAATTTCCGATCGTAAAGACGATTAGAGGCGAAAAAGGCTGCAGTATCTCAAGAATGGGAAGAAAATCGTGTCGACGTGTACAAAACAATGTTTCGCACCAACGCCGCGGCCGCGTGGCTCCAACTTTGGGGATGTGGTTCGGGTGTGGCTTCGGTATCGACAGGGATTTTTTTCGTTGGGAATGAAGGCACTGAAGCAGGTAAAATGACATGAATGTAAGAGGGACGAAAATAGCCAGAAATGCGATGAGCGGAGTAAAAGCGACTGATGGATGCCCCGGGAGTGCAATGGAAGCTATTTTGGGCTACCGGGCTCCGTTTTTTGGAAGAGATGACGATGGTACGAAGTGGAATGAGAACAGCAAATTGTCAAGGCAGTGAACAGCAAATTGTAACTCAGCAGGGAGCCTTGGACGACTTGTCAAAATTCTTGAACGGAGAAAAAGAGGACAAGAATCACCTCGGGCAACAGAAGCAGATGATGCAAGTGTTGGCCGCATTTCCTGGTGATGAAAGCATGCGCGATGATGACCGGCCTTATCCCGCGACGACCCCCAACCCGCGGGATTTGATCGCAAAGCATGGTCCAAGTAGCAAAATGAAGCATGGAAAAAAGAAAGACTCGAGCTTTGAATGATGAAAGCAGGGCGGCGACGCAGCGAAATCAATGTAGTAAATGAAGTGTTTTGAGCATGGCTCAAGAACCCCGTCCGGCGTGTTCAAAATGCATGCCGGCAGAAGATGCTGATTCTCTCGGCTTTTGCCCCCGACTCAGGGACGGAATAAGATCTGATCTTCCGGCAAGGGTCAAAAACATACTTGTGTTTGTGGCCCCAGAAGCACAAAGGAGACGGATAACGAGCATGCAGCAGCGGGGTTACTCCGGTGGACAAACAATGGATACGGACGATCGTGGATCACCCCCCGGTGATCATCGACGGATACAAGATCCACGAGCGAACATGCTCCGAAGCCCACTGGGGACACTCTCATTTCGAGTAAGCAAACGATGAGGTAAAGAAACGCAAGGCCTTGCCCTGGCGTTGTCGCCTTGCTCATTCATGAACGTGTCCGAAACGAATGAACAAAACACAGAGGGAGAGTAGAGAAGAATGCTCACTGGATGAAGGTTCTCCCAAGGAGAAAAGAGAGGGGACCCGGATGTTCAACGGAACGGGCTCCGAAAATATCGCGGGAACCCCCTAAGCCTCGCGCACCATGAGGGTCAAGCCCAGACAGCCCATCTACACATGCAACTAGCGACGCATCCGGACCATTTACCCCGACCACACCATGCCGCCCACCTATCCGACACCGCTGTCTGCGAGAAGAAAAGAAGCAAGGAAGAGTTACTGCAAGAAAACCCAGGTAGAACGCGAAGCGTAGAACACAAAAGGACCGCGCGTGGGGCTACTGCGATTTCACACCTAACATCACTTCTCACAAAGCGCCGGATCTCTCAAGCATCTAGCCTCGGCATCCCGCTCTCCCTATTTTAAACTCCAACCCTGCAAGAGCCAGTCGTCCGTTCATCTCTCACTGTGATGTAAAGCAAGGGGGTGAGGGCTGAGAGGTTCGTATGTCTCTGAGCTTGGGCCCGCAACCTCCTTGTCAGATCATGTCGATGGATCACAGAAAGTTCGGGCATTTGGGCAGCGATTCAGCGAGAACACATCGCCGAGGCCACGAGTACTTGGCGAAGCGGCCGCGGTGTTTGACGTGTAGATCATGGTTTAGAGTTCCCGCTAGCCTCTGCGGTCTCCCGCGTGGAAGCCTAGCTGTGGCCGTTGGGAGGAGGGCTTTTCGCTTTCGTGAACCAGAGACAAAGACGGGCTGGGACCGAAGATGGATCGCGAAAGCTGGTCTGCTTCTTTTTCGGGGACCCGTCCCTCCCAACGAGCGGGCCGCGCCGAAACCTTGGACTCCGCTCATGGCGATGATCGTTCAGAGTCTCGTTCACTCGGCCGATTGTTGCTGTCTTCGTCCGTCCTTCACCAGGGGTGTGGCTGAACGTCGTCATGCCCCCTTCCAAAAGCCGGAATGTCTCGCGATCTTCCGCCCTAGATCTGCCCCCTAGTCAGTGCCCATGGACAGTTGTGTTTCTGGGTCGCGTATCCCAATCTCAAACACGCCAGCTAACCTATCCCGTGAACTTCTTCCCCCATCGAATGACTCGATTCTGCTCACCGAGTTTCCTATTCCATGACTCCTCCCCGACGTTATCAGAACGGAATACCTCTTCTGGACCAGCGTTTCCCGCGGAAAGACTGTCTGTAATGAGCGCAACGTACGCAATATATGAACCCCAAGACTGAATGAACATGTCGGCAGCAGACGGCCATCTCCCCTACTGCGTACAGCCCATCATGTCGTGCCATGTCATGTCATGTACGTGACAATGCAATATGCTCGAAGTTAGCGCCCGAACAGGCATAGGTGCGGTTACGACTTGGTTGCTTTTCGGGGGTTAAATGGCCTGAACGGGAAACACGAGACAAAATATCGTCGAAACCCTTCACCAGCTCCAGGTCTGGGATGGGTCAAGTTAGTGACGGAAAACCCCGCGAGTTGGCGACTGGGTTCAATCGCTAGTCTGTCACCCCTGGACATTCTTGCCCTTTTAGATCGATCCTTCCTGCCCTTCCCCCTCCCTGGTCTGTCACCTGGGGAATGATCATC